TAACCCTAATAATCAAAAATTTTAGATCAGAAAGGAATTTCGGAAATTATGCAGGCAAATTTGCCTGCTAATCCCGACAATCTAAGGGATAATAAAAAAAATTATTGTAATTTTTTTTTTTTTAAAAGCATTAGTAGATGATTAAGTACTTGAGTTAATTAAAATAGAAATATCTTATGATGGTCTTTATATATCAATAACTCAACTAATATATTACCAAAAAAAATTGCTTGTAAATTAACATAGTTAATTATTTAACTCTTGAAAATTTTAAATTCAATATAATATTTTGATAAATATTAGAATGAATTGGAATTTCTAAAGGAATTTGATTGGTAATAGATAAAATATATTATATTTTAGATCAAATGAAATTTAGGTAAAATTTTGAATAAATATATATCTTCTCTAAATAACTAAATAATTTTTATTATTATCTTTTTATTTAAAAATCCTTGGAATTTTCTATATAATCTTATAAAGATATTTATAACTGCATTAATTTTACTTTTAATAGTTAAAAAATATTATTGGTTTAATCTTTTGAAAATAATTCAATTATCTATCATATATAAAAAAAAAGGATAATAAAGAATAATTTTTAGGTAATATTTGAAAATTACTAATAAAATTGAAGTTAAAAAATATATAATTTATTATATATCTATAGAAGAAATGAAAATTTATTAATAAATTTTTAAGTTAAAATTCAAAAAGAAGTAATAACTATGTATAATTTGCAAAAGAAAAATCCAACATACTTTTACTATAGAAATTAGAAAAAATTAAAATAATTGTAATAAAAAATACTTTCAGAATAAGTATAAATGAACTAAATATCTTAATAATAATTTATGTAGGAAATTTAATATTTATTGGTAAGTAAATAATGAATTTATATATTTATTAGACAATTTGACTTTATCTTTTTGTTATAGAAAATCTAATAAAGAAAGTAATTATGTAAGCTATAATAAATTACTGCAAAAACAATTATTATTTTTAACTGAAAAGATATTAGAACAGTTAAGGAATTTATTCAAAAGAAAAAATAGGTAAAATATCTTTTTATTTATTTATTTATTTTTTATAAAGACTAATAAAATTTTATTACTTATAGTAATCCAATTACAAGTGAAAAAGAACATAAAGCTTCAAATTATATCAAATATTTATCTAATACAAAAAATAAAATAAGAGAAGTATTATTTTATTATTCAACTATATGAAAGGTTTGCTAAGAAAATGAGTTCTGAAAATTTTTAGGTTCCAAGTTAGTCCAATTTTTATAAGAAGCTGAAAGCGTTACATTTAATTCTGATAATTCATTTTCTGACAAAATGTTCGTGATTTTTTGATCAGAAAAATCGATGCTTTTCCACAATATTAACTAAAAAATTTATTAGAATCAGGATACCACAAATAACAAAAGAATCAGCATTTGTCAAACACTTACTTTAGTGACAATTCGTATCGAATTTTTATATCATTAGAAATCGCAGAAATTATGATTGATGCCCCTTTGCTATTTATCTAGCCAGCATGGTTTTGATATATTGAATTCCCACCCAATCGGAGGTTCTTCAATCTATGCACAGTTACAAAAGGTTCGTGGGTCAATTTGAATAACACTTTTCGTGCTAAAATTAAAATAAAAACTAAAAAATATAAATACCTCGATTAAATACTCAGGTATTTGTGGTTCTTGTTGCCCACGTTGATAAGACTTATTATGTGAAAATACAACTGGAACATATTTAGAATCCTAGTAGTGTAATAAAAGTAAGTTAGAAATAATGCCCATATCAATTTCGCAAATGTAGTTAAAGAAGGAAAAAAGAGTCTTGCTCAGAGTAAGTTGCACACCCACGCCGACTTAGGCGAGACTATGCGAGAACTTATCTCCCATGTTACACTGTTGACTGCGTATAGTCATCATTATACATACCTTTTAGAATTTTCATTCATTCGGGAACTTCCTTTGATATGTTAATTGTTAAGTTCTATGAAGACAAGGCCAGTTAGCTTACTATATGAATTCATCATGCAACTAATATTCAATACTTACACATCATATGTCAAATTCACAAATCGAACAAAGTTGAGAATTTTCTCCTTTTTGTTTTGATTCTCAATAATTTTCCAGATGTGCATTACGTATTCATCTTTTTTCAATGCGAGCTTCATTACAGTATTTGCTGTTTTTGTTCATTATTCGCCTCCACATATACTTTGTTACCCATACTATATGGGTATGGGATAAAGTCCTAATCCCATCCCATTGCTTAGATTAAAACTTTAATAAATAATATCTCTGTATCGAATAACTAGAATTTAAAGATATAGCTTCATTTTGATAAGATGATTTAAATAACTAAAATTTTATTTCAGTAGGTCCAAGATATACTTAAAATGATATATAAATTGAATGAGATTTGGGATTTAGAATTGGATATGGGATTTTGGATGAGATGGGATTCTAAAGTATACAACTATACTCTACACAATCTTCAAGAATTTCTGCAACAAATTCCGCTACTTCACATGGATTATATCAGTAAATTTTCTCTTAAGGGGTCTGGAGTCCTTAGTTATCTTGCTTATCAACCGTTGAATTCTTTCACCATCAAAATTTTCTTGGTAGATATATACTTCTTGGTAATCTCTACATAGTACTTAAACAGTAAAAAAAACAAATCAAACGTGTTATTATAAGGCAGATAATCCTTGTCAACTACTTACCATGACCGACCGTTACCATCCCTAATAAATATATGAACAACACTTAAAAACCCACAATCAATTACAGTATTTTATGTATAAAGATTAAACAACTTAAATTTCTTACAAAATAATAAACTTATTAAATTAATAAATCTTTTTATTCTAATAATTTATTTTAATTATATCGGGAAAAGCAAATTTATCGTCTGATGTAAATTGGTTCCAAGACTTATATATTATTACCTAAATTTACGTGAGATGGAAGTCGGTGCTCTCAACTTTGATACTTGTGTCTTCATCTTTTTGGCTGCTGGAGATGTGTCCGATTTGGTTTGAATTTTATCTGAGATAAAAAGGAAGATAAGAATTTTAATTTTGATATGTTTCGAATTTACATTAGTTTTCTTACTAGAAACATTTGTCGAATTAATATGCGGAGTTAAAGGTTTTTTAACAACAGATCTTTTTCTTTTTCGCAATTCACTTCTTTCATTCAAATTTTCGGATGAATCTTCCAAAGACATCGACTGTTGAAGATCTACTTGATTTATGAATGTTTTTGTAACATCATCTTTTTGCGACAAGATTTCTTGTTTATTATATTCAGGGATAAGGTCGGATGGTGTATGTTTCTTTGTAGAATATTTTTTTAACGGCGAATCATCATTATTATTCTCGAAGTCACATTGTTCTTGTGTTTCTTGTAATTTGATTTCTTGCGCGGGATGAGTTCGGTGTATTCCAATTGGAGAATACAAAAGATGGTCAACCAAATGCACAACATCATCCGGACATTTTATATGGGATACATTTGCTCTCAGCTCCGATTTGGAGACAGATACATTTGGAGACGGTTGCGCATCTTCATTAGATGTTTTTAATTTGGATACAAGATTTTTAAATTGTTTCAAAGTATTACGTGCGCGTTGCTCAATAGGAAGTGATTCATCATTAAATTTATCTCCCACTGTTGAAGACTGATTTTGAAATGTAGAGTTATTTCGATATGCTTCACTTGTATCATAATTAGTCGTAGTATCATGTATAGCTTAAATTGATATTATCGCATAATTTTTTAAAAAAAGAACAAGGGAATATAATCAAAGACATTCTTTAAATAATATCAAGTAAATATACCTTGCACATTTTGTTGATATCCACTATCCATACCTAAGAAAGAATCTTTATTGATGACATCTTCACGCGTATATTTCGAAGGAAGGATTGAATGAATATGTGACACGTTTATATTGTCGTTTTGTGACAAAGGCACCTTGTTGTAACACGTGACCTCCATGTCTCTTTTCATGTTGTTCGAGGCAAAAAAAAAATTTTATTGTTAAAATTGAAACAAGAACAAGAATGACTATAGTTTTATTATAATTTAATACGTACGTATCAAATTCCATATACTTTCCAGGTGTAGCAGTTTCTTTAGTCAATCGAATATCCTCTTCTTCAAACTCTCGAGATAATTCAAGATGATCGTTCAATAAATTTGTGCAAGTATCTAGTTTTGTTTGAATAAAGAATATTAGATACTCTGACATGATGAAATCAGTACTAAAAATATTTCGAAATTGTAAGTTATAACCTTCATTTAATCCATTAAATATTGCAGCGCTTTCCCTTCTGTTCCGAACCTTAGAAAAACCAAGTTTATCTTCAAATTCCTTCATACTCAAAGGTTTAAAGTTAAATTTATTGCCTTCCATATGTTAGATAAAGAGGATCGAAATTAGCTAGAGAACTTTAAAACAACAAAATTATATAAACAAACATAATTACTGAATTAGTGATTTGCGCGTCATTCGTGATTTGTGAAACAATAGAATCATGTGATTTCTCGATGATCATTTGTACACCGAACTTCATCTTCCTTATATGCCCGAACTTTTCTTTTAAATTGTTCACATATTTTCTTTCTTTTTTTATTTTTTATTTTTAAATAAAAAATAAAAAAATAAAAATGACTGTGTTAGATAATGGTTCGGTATGTAATTGAATGTTGAGATTCTCTAGTTATTTCGTTCCGGACATTAACTTCAAAATTCATAAAAACATAGTTCCTTACACAACTCACAAAACTTTTTGAAAAAACAAAGCCAACTTCAAAGAAAGTGTATCTTACTATGAAAAGATGTACGGACATTGAAGTTTATAAGTTTATATATAAAAAATCAAATATACATTAAAGAATTATATTTGTTGAACCTAATTATTAAATATGATGTCATTTTAGATACATGGGAATCACGTAATACGAAAAAAGAAAAAGAAGCAGAAAAAAGCAAAGCAGTGGATGACCAATCTTTAGAGAAGGAATCGAAGAAAGAAGAGGTTGATGATAAAGAATATCCTTGTTTAATTAGAGCCGTGTGTGGAAATATTAAAATCAGTACTTTGGTAAGGATTAATAACCAATTATTTCTAGCATGATTCAAATTAACTAATACTTTTCTTTTTGTTTTAGGTTTCACCATCTGATACTGACAAATTTATCACGGGATATAGTAATATACTTAAAGTACATATGGATTCAATGAAAAAGAAAGAAAGGAAAAAAGAAAAATTAAAGGCAAAGAAAACAAAAAAGGTCAAAGCTACCACTGCTTAATATTTGCTTTGATCAATTTTTTAAGATAATTTAAATTTAAATTAGTTCATCATTTGAAGAAATGTTGACATACATAATAAACAAAAAATTAATGCGCTTTAGAGTTTCACTTTATTATAAAGGTCATCATACATTATACTTTATGGTAGATACGATCTCTCCTAGCTTCATCCAATTTTTTGGTATGATCCCATAATTCTTTTGTTAATTCCGATGAGCCAAAACTCAAACCAACCAATCTAATAGAAAATGAATATTAGAAATTATAAGGTTTAATTATTGTTATATGAGCTTTCTTAACATACCTTGATAAATTCAAAAGCAACATTAAATCTTCTTGAGATATCAAAGGTATTCCATTCCTCGACGCCTTCTGTCTTTGAGTGACGTAATCTGTTTGAATATACTATAAAATTTCGAATGCAAAGTATTAAAATATTTCTTTCTTTAAAAATACAAAAAAAAAAAGTTATTTGAAACAACTAAAAAAAAATTATTATATATACATTTGAAATATTTTCAGGGATATTAAAGTCAGTCCATCTAAGAATACTAATATATTTCCTGAATTGGTTTAATGTATCTTCTGGTATATCTAGAATTGTTATGCTCTCGGTTTTTTGAATAAGAGGAATGTTACAATCATGCTACATAAAAAAATTTTTGAAAATATTAGAAAATGTAAATAGTTTATAAATCCAGTGTTTAATACACACATTAAGGAATGATTTAGCATTCGATAATATAATTATTCCAATATCCGTATCGAATTCATAATTATTAAATGGGAAAGTGTAATTAAGTTTCTGATGGTCCAATATATCGTTAAGAGCTTTCAAGTTACGGACTCCTAATGTATAAAATGTATATTAGATTCTGATCTTCAATATAATTTTATAATTTTAAAAACATACCAGTATCGCATAATTTTCCTTCTTTCAGCACCGTCTCGTCAATCAAAAACCATGTGCCTTGACTAACTTGTAAAACACCGGAATCCAGTTCATTATTGCTACGTGGGAAATAAAATAACTCATTAAGTGTGGATAGAGTAAGCGGAAGGTCATGATATTTTGGTAAAAGTGAAGCGAGAACAGAAGAGATTCGTTTTGCAAATAAATTATCGTGTTCGAGACTTAAATCGTTATTCGAATTTCCATTTACAACAGTATTACAGGTAGAGGCATTGCTGATATTTAATGCGAGCTTTCCGAGTGCGAAACCATTTTGTCGAAGATGTCTAGATCAAGATAAATTCCATATTAGAAAAGTATTGTTAAATAAAGAAATTTATCAAAGTTGAACTTCCTTACATTCTAGATAAAAGTTGTAGCAAAACGAATTCTGCAACTAAATAATCCCCTCCAAATGCTGATGCGATATACTGAACCATAGCACTTCTGATCAACTCGGCATCGTTAGGAGACACTTTCATAAATTAAACGTAAGTACTCATGTAAAAAATTTTAGTAATCGCAATGAAGTAAAAATACCAGATAAGTTTGTAGTTGATATTAGCGGATTTCCTGTTGGATGAAGCTTTCTATAAAATATCACATGCACACTAGGGCTATAACAAGATGCAGTATTTTCATCAAGGACATTAAATTCATCACATTGCGATTCATTTGCATCGTTAGTCGCCTTTCTATAAATGAATAGATTAACTTTGTAAAACTCGTTCATAATGATGAGAACACAATTTTAATTAATGTAAATGAAATACCTCGGATAATTAAGTACTCCAATAAATTCAACAACATCTGTAACTTTAAATGAATCCTCTTTCTCATAAATCTATGATAGTCACAAATAAAATTAATTCTATATAGAAAATGGTAATAAGGTCAGTTGTGTTATAATTAAACTTGTCTTCACCTTAATTACTGCCGCCATATGATTTTCTTTCGGAAATGGATATTTTGATGAGGATTCTTTCAATTCATTATTAGCTTTTTCATCATTCAAATTAATATTCGCAGTTGAACTTACGATATCTGTAGAAAAAATTAATATAAAAATTTATTATACCGGAACAATCTAAACTATTCAAACTTATTTGGATGTAAACCTTCAATATTTGTTTCAGATTTTAATCGAAGCTGCCTATAAATGTATTATTACTAAGGTCAAAGAAAATTTAACTCAATTATATCAACTATTATATAATTATAAATGCTTTAAGGATATTTGCTTTGCCCATGACGTCTCTCCAGGCACAGAGGTGCAATAAAATAATTGCCTCTCACTAAATTCATTACAAGGAGAATTTAGACTTTCCAGTACATCATTTAAGTTCTCATCCTATCACAAAATTTAAATTAATATGTGCATATATTATATATATATTGTAGTCTCAATAGTTATTATTATATAATTATGTTACCTTAAGGACAATTTCATCTGAATATTTATGAAATTTCTTTTGCTAATTGTAGTAATTATGAAGAAATTAATAAATAAATAATAAATCTTTTAGAAAGAAACGCATTTATTCAATCACAGGATATAAAGATCAACCTTAATGCCATCACGATTGACCATTTCATACGAACTAACAAAAACTTCGTGTCCAAATCCAGTATTTTGGATCATGGACCGAAAGCGCACAAGTGTATATTGCGGAATACCATATACACAAGAAACATCGTTCAATGAAGGTATCTTTTTGAAATAATGATTATTTTTTATACAATAATTTAAGCAAATAAATTTAGTAACTTGTTCAAACCTGATTGACATTTCCTTCAGACGCGAAAATAGTTTTAAAATATGCTGGAATGTTTGCCTGATCTATACCCAGTTGTTCTCCCGAATTTGACTCAAGTTCTTATGTAATTTAACAAAATAATAAATATTTTTATCGCGCTCGTTATTTTTTTGATACTTTTTCCAAACAAAATCAACTTTATTACCAAGTAAATATCTAACGACATCAAGAGGCCTTTCGATGCATTCAGAACTAGAAAAAATGGGAATCATTTTTGGTTTTAATTAAATTCAAGCAAAGCTTGAAACAATCGTTTTTATTACGCGAAAATAATTCACCTAACTCGTGTATAATTACTCTTTCTGGAAATCACTCTAGATATTATATCAACGCAGAACGTAATCAATTTACATATTTGGAAATTATCTGCGAATGGTGTAAATTCATAAAAATGTACCGTAGCACTATGATTCAAAAGTACTTTTTTTTTTTTTTTTTTTTTTTTCGATGTGGCACTGCCAGTAACTTTATTATTTTATAAAAGAAATACAAAAAGTAAA